CGCTGTCCCGACCAAGACATACCCTTCAAAGCGAAAGTAAACAAAAATTTACAAGCAGATAAACACGGTGAAAAAATAATAAAATACGATAGTACAAAGTACGCAACGTAGAAAGAATTTCACCCGTAATATAAATCAGAAAACGTTAAAAATAAATAACGTTTACCGAAACAAACAACCGTCACTGAAATAAACAGAGGTCGGAAATTAACCCACAATAATGGCGGACCGCGTGGCACACCACCGGCACACGTGGAGTAAAATAACTGGCTGTAAAAGGCACAAAAATAATTTTTAACAAGGGCGGATGGGTATAAGGCACACAAACTGCGCAATAAATTGAGTTAACACTCTAACCAAACCGACAAAACAAAGTTTTGAAATGGAGCTAGCTCCGTGCATCAGCAGGCAGGAGGCGCCATAAAAGGAAGAGGAAGGGAGATCACTCTGTGGCTCTGTCGTCAAGATATGGGTTACGTCACGGTAGGGAGGTAGGTATATTTGAATCTTTTGTTTTTGGGCTACAAAGATGGGTGTAGGTATTGTATATGCATACTTAAAGTTATGGTAATTATTACTGAAATGAAAAGGTGATGCTTACTGGGCACCAGTACTATACATAGAGATGTTTAGGAGTGCAGTGGTCATGTGTGAGAGTATGAGGACTGTGTAAAGGACTGTGTTTATAGGGGTTATAATCCTCAGATCTCTATCAATCCTTCTGGGAATGTACTGAACATTTCCTAACTAATGCTCAGCCTAAAACTGTAAAGGTCAAGATCATTCTACCATTCTTATTTAATCAACTTCGTATTTAATCTTATATTTAGAAAAGCCTCATATACCATTTGAAAAGTTATATCATTATTAAATTGATTACTTTTTCAAAAGCAGTACTTCGGGGAAAGTTTATTTGGAGAAAAAATAACGTTGATCTCTTAGTGTTGTGCATGTGATGGTATTGGTTATGCACTCACGTGAAGGAGGATGGAGAGAGGATATCTCACTCCTAATAGAATTACAACTGTTTCTAAACTTGTACATGCCTTTTTACAAATATTTCAAACATTCAGAAGTACCCATATAACAAGTTTAGGAGGCTAAGAATGATTACTTGTACTCTTGGGAGAGCTTTGTGTAACAATTTTGCTTTCCTTGAGCAGCTATAACCCCTATATGTGCTTACTAGTAGTAGTTTTGTTTCCTCTGCTTTGGAGTGCACAGACAAAACTAATCCATAAGCTACAATTCAGTATGGAGCACAGAGACTACACTAATCCATAAACCTTTTTGTTTTCTGGTTAACTAACTGACAGGTCATTTTGAATACTGATTTACCAGCTAAATCAACATCATCAACCCGCCTTAAGAGTACCGCAGAACCAGAATTAAGGAGAAGTGTAGAACCATGGTTAGGAGGTGTCATTTTGTAACGTCCCGGTAATCTAGATTATTAATGATCACAGGAGCAACAGGTGGATGAAGCATCCTTTATACACCTAATAGGAACAATTTTTTGATAAGATTTTGATTAGTTTTAGTGGAAAAGGACAAGAGGCCTTTAGAAAAGGATACCAGCTCATTTCCTGTTGATGAAGCTAAGCTCACAGGTCTACTGTACTGTACCAGGTCAGGAGACAAATTACAATATTCCTCTGAACAGTATCAGGATAGGGAATACAACACCACATGTCACACAGCCCCACCAGTATGGGACAAACTCCATCAAACAAAACTACACTTACAAACTCCTCTTAAAACATCTAAAACTGATTGAACTTAACAATTCACATATTCCAAAAATATACAGCAATTCAGCATAGCTCTTTTTTTCGATTTGACACAACCTAATCTTTTAAGTTAGTTTTTAATATGACAAATGTGATGGAACAAATTGAAATCCAGACTAACAATCTACCACAGTACAACCATACAAATACAATGTACCACCTCAGAACTTTACAATTTATCATCTAAGGACCAATAGACCTTCTAACAAAGGTCCAGACAAACAATCTACCACAGTACAACCATACAAACACAATGTACCACCTCAGAACTTTACAATTTACCATCTAAGTACCAATGGACCTTCTAACAAAGGTCCAGACAAACAATCTACCACAGTACAACCATATAAACACAATGTACCACCTCAGAACTTTACAATTTATCATCTAAGGACCAATAGACCTTCTAACAAAGGTCCAGACAAACAATCTACCACAGTACAACCATATAAACACAATGTACCACCTCAGAACTTTACAATTTATCATCTAAGGACCAATAGACCTTCTAACAAAGGTCCAGACAAACAATCTACCACAGTACAACCATATAAACACAATGTACCACCTCAGAACTTTACAATTTATCATCTAAGGACCAATAGACCTTCTAACAAAGGTCCAGACAAACAATCTACCACAGTACAACCATATAAACACAATGTACCACCTCAGAACTTTACAATTTATCATCTAAGGACCAATAGACCTTCTAACAAAGGTCCAGACAAACAATCTACCACAGTACAACCATATAAACACAATGTACCACCTCAGAACTTTACAATTTATCATCTAAGGACCAATAGACCTTCTAACAAAGGTCCAGACAAACAATCTACCACAGTACAACCATATAAACACAATGTACCACCTCAGAACTTTACAATTTATCATCTAAGGACCAATAGACCTTCTAACAAAGGTCCAGACAAACAATCTACCACAGTACAACCATATAAACACAATGTACCACCTCAGAACTTTACAATTTATCATCTAAGGACCAATAGACCTTCTAACAAAGGTCCAGACAAACAATCTACCACAGTACAACCATATAAACACAATGTACCACCTCAGAACTTTACAATTTATCATCTAAGGACCAATAGACCTTCTGACAAAGGTCCAGACAAACAATCTACCACAGTACAACCATATAAACACAATGTACCACCTCAGAACTTTACAATTTACCATCTACGGACCAATCTACCTTCTAACAAAGGTCCAGACAAACAATCTACCACAGTGAAACCATATAAACACAATGTACCACCTCAGAACTTTACAATTTTCCATCTAAGGACCAATGGACCTTCTAACAAAGGTCTAGACAAACAATCTACCACAGTGAAACCATATAAACACGATGTACCACCTCAGAACTTTACAATTTACCAGCTAAGGACCAATAGACCTTCTAAAAAAGGTCCAGACAAACAATCTACTACAGTACAACCATATAAACCCTATGTACCATTGTGAAACCATACAATTTACCATATTAGGACCAAACAACCTTCTAGCTCAGGTTCAGACAAACAATCTACCACAGTGAAACCATACAAACACAATGTTCCCCCTCAGAACTTTACAATTTTCCATCTAAGGACCAATGGACCTTCTAACAAAGGTCTAGACAAACAATCTACCACAGTGAAACCATATAAACACAATGTGCCACCTCAGAACTTTACAATTTACCATCTACGGACCAATCTACCTTCTAACAAAGGTCCAGACAACCAATCTACCACAGTGAAACCATACAAACACAATGTACCACCGCAGAACTTTATAATTTACCATCTAAGGACCAATGGACCTTCTAACATAGGTCCAGACAAATAATCGACCACAGTACAACCATATAAACACAATGTACCCCCTCAGAACTTTACAATTTTCCATCTAAGGACCAATGGACCTTCTAACAAAGGTCCAGACAACCAATCTACCACAGTGAAACCATACAAACACAATGTTCCCCCTCAGAACTTTACAATTTTCCATCTAAGGACCAATGGACCTTCTAACATAGGTCCAGACAAACAACCTACCACAGTACAACCATACAAACACAATGTACCACCGCAGAACTTTATAATTTATCATCTAAGGACCAATCAACCTTCTAACAAAGGTCCAGACAAATAATCTACCACAGTACAATCATATAAACACAATGTACAACCTCAGGACTTTACAATTTACCATCTTAGGACCAATAGACCTTCTAACAAAAGTCAAGACAACAATCTACCACAATACAACCATATAAGCACTATGTACCACCTCAGAACTTTATAATTTATCATCTTAGGACCAATCAACCTTCTAACAAAGGTCTAGACAAACAATCTACCACAGTACAACCATATAAACACTATGTACCATTGTGAAACCATACAATTTACCAGATTAGGACCAAACAACCTTCTACCTCAGGTTCAGACAAACAATCTACCTACTTAGAACCAGACAATATACCATTTTTAACAAGAAAATCAATCTACCACCGAATAATCAGACAAATGTTCCACCAGGTCGGTAATGACTTACTCTTTTGTGTTCATCAATATAAATGACCTGTCCTCACTAACATTTCTTCATTATCTCTCAAATTATCACCATGGTTACCTACTCACTCTAATTTTAATTTGGTTCCTTGTGTCATGATAGAGAACTTAATTTAACACAATGTGTTGAAATTCAGCCCCAAAGGTTTGTGTACTAAAAGGTCATTGCTATTCAATGAAGGTTGGACTGCCATAAAGAACAGATGTTGCCCCACTAGACTCTAGATTACGTCTGTTTGTGGAGAAATTCTGCCTACCTGTGCCCACAATGTGTTGTATATGTCCCTCATTCATATCATCTGAAATAAAAAAAATAGACAAAAAAATCATTAGTCTTTACACCTTTAGTGCAGCTTCACTTTAGCAATATCACATCAACCTAAAGCACCTTCATCAGTCAACAATGCTTGCCATTCCGACAACCTCACACTTTACCATGCCAGTTTTCACCTTATATAACACTGTGAATTTTACAGATTACCAAATGCTGTGACAGATGATGGGCCTTGCAGCACAAATAAAAGTTTTATTCCCAAAAAAGAATTGAAAACTGGAATATTGTATTTTGAGTTTGTTCTGTTATAGGAATGCAGATCACTGGTTACTGACATACATGTATTAAAATGGTAAAAGACAAAAACATTTATTTTGTAACATGTATAAGATTCTGTTGAAAAAATGAGAAATAAAATTGAATGTGATGTTAGAGCATGTGTAAGCATTTGAAACCCATTGTCCATAGATTCTGGTTTCAGTCCAAGAGTAATGACATTTCCAGCCTCCAAAATACATTTGAATGTGCAAATAGCCTCATTAAGTCATTCACCCCTACACAATAAAACTCGATTTGATTTGGAAAGGTTCAAATGTGATTTTAGGGGGAAATGGATTGAGTAATAACCTCAAAGTTGATACAGCATAAAATGCAGAAATATCAACGTAAAGTTGGGTTTTGTACAGCCACCACTAATCCAGTTGTTCATACATCCAGTGTTTAACAAGACATATTTATCTTTTTCTATTTAAATTGTTCCTTTAGCTATTATTCCGTCTTTGCGTATTGCAGAGTTATCTTCTCTTGGGAGCAGGTATTGATTGTTACGTCACTTGTTTGTGAGAGTAACGTCATCAATTTTTGAGAAAACGACGTAATTTTCTCACACAAACCAATGAGGTAACAATCAATACCTGCTCTCAAGAGAAGATAACTCTGCAATACGCAAAGACGAAATACAATATAACTACTGCTTTTGTCGGGAACAAAGGATTATCAACAAAGGAGAGTAAGTGAATTATTTACTGGAAGATCATCTTCTGGAATTGAAGATGGTTGGATTATCTGCTGGGAGTGAAGATGGCCAGATTATCTGGAATAAATTAGATGGATTATCTTGAAAGAAGATTGCTGGTAGAATTGTGACTGGGGAAAAAGATGCTGGATTGTCTACCATGGCAAGAGGAGGCTGAACTATATCCTGGAAACCAAAGTGGCTGAAATATCTACAGCATACAAGATGGCTGAATTAGTTGCTTCGTACCAAGATGGCTGAATTATTTACTGGGTACCAAGGTGGCTGAATTATTTGCTCGGAATGAAGTTTAATGGATCATCTACCAGAAACAAAGGGGGCTGAATTATCTTCAACAAAGGAAGGTGAATGAATTGTCTACTGAGACAGAAGATGGCTGAATTTTCTTCAAAAAAGGAAAGTGATTGTTAATTTACTGAGATGGAAGGTGATTGACTTTTCTACTGAAAGCAGAATTGGCTGTATACTGGAGCCTCGGTCTGGCTAAAGCTTTTATAAACCCTTTTGAAAAGAAAACCCATACCTTGCAGGACTTTGATGAAAAAATGATAAAGATGAAATAATCAACAAGTTTTTTGAAACTAAAATCATCAGCGGGGTTAGACCAAGACTCAAACCCTGGTCCTCAGATTGTTATCCTGTTTCTCTAACCAAGGGGTTAGACCAAGACTCAAACCCTGGTCCTCAGATTGTTATGCTGTTTCTCTAACCAAGGGGTTAAACAAAGACTCAAACCCTTGTCCTCAGATTGTTATACTGTATCTCTAACCAAGGGGTTAGACTAAGACTCAAGCCCTGGTCCTCAGATTTTTATACTGTTTCTCTAACCAAGTGGTTAGACAAAGACTCGAACCCTAGTCCTCAGATTGTTATACTGTATCTCTAACCAAGGGGTTAGACTAAGACTCAAGCCCTGGTCCTCAGATTTTTATACTGTTTCTCTAACCAAGGGGTTAGACAAAGACTCGAACCCCGGTCCTTGGATTGTTATACTGTTTCTCTTTTAGACAAAGACTCGAACCCTGGTCCTCAGATTGTTATACTGTTTCTCTAACCAAGGGGTTAGACAAAGACTCGAACCCTGGTCCTCAGACTGTTATACTGTTTCTCTAACCAACTGAGCTGCCTCTAGTCAACAGAGGTAGCCTGCCCCACTGAACTACAGTTGTATCCAAAACGAACCACAGGGGAGGTAACTGTCTATACTTGTCTTTATAGGAAACTAGATTGCAGCGGGGCAGGGATCTTTTAAAATAATGTCTGACTTTTCTTACATATGTATATCTGACTATCATGCCAAAAATATTTAGCAACAAGCTTTACCTTTATGAAGCAAACATTCAGAAAAATTCTTGCTTCTTATAGTTGGCAGCAGTGAGAACACTTTTACATTTATATATGACACTGATTTGAATTTGTTTCTTCTTGTTTATTTTCTCTTGATTTTTTTGAGGTCAATCTAGTTTCTCAAATGTTGTTTTCACTTTTCCAACATCAATGAAGTACATTATGCATTATTTCTTTTAAAACATAAAAGAATTTAGGGAAAGTAGGTCTAAAAACGTCAGTAGGTGAAGATGTAATTGTTTCTGTAATTAACAAAGAACCCCATTCTGCGGAAGAACCAGGGCAAATTTCCAGGGGTAACTAACCTACAGATTATATAGACTGCCAGGGTCATACAGCCAGGTCTTATTGAAGTGTGACTGGATGTTGGTTACCTTGGGTAAATGCTAGCCACATCCAGTGTGTCAGGAGGCGGGTTACCTTGGGTTAATGCTAGCTACATCCAGTGTGACAGGAGGCGGGTTGCCTTGGGTAAATGCTAGCCACATCCAGTGTGACAGGAGGTGGGTTACTTTGGGTTAATGCTAGCCACATCCAGTGTGACAGGAGGCAGGTTACAGAAGGTTAATGCTAGACATAGACAGTTCAACGAGAGCTGGGTTACAGAGAGTTAATTCTACTGTACAATGTCTGATGGTAGCATCTACTGAACTGCAATAAGAGACATTGAATCTAATATATCTAATACATAGGTTTCTGAGTAAGCCATATACTGAAAGTATTCCCCATATCCATTCACATTACTCATCAATCTGTGAGCAGTATTACAGGTCTAACAAACAAGTTCTAACTCCTTTGCTGACACCAAAACCTGCAGGAAACACATATGTACTGGCGTCAACTCTTTACATATGACATTCGTGCCAAATTTGGGTGGTTGAGGATTTTCCATCTTGGTACCAGTCTTACATCATTAGTGACACACAGTAGATTTAAGCCTAGGGGGCAGTTGTATCAGCCTCTCCCTAAAACATCATTACAAACATACTGATTAGTGGTGTTGAAAGGAAGGCAGACAAATATTGCCAATTTATTTAGAATTGTGTGTTTGAGTTTGCTGTAGGTGCGGTGGAACGGAGGACAGGCAGGCATACACTTAAACCTTCTAATCCAATCTCATTGGCTGTCCTACACAAACCTATACTACCAATACATTTATTTATGCATGAGGTAACCTGCTTTTGTAGATGCCTGCTGGTTAAACTGTTTTAAAAAGATGCAATTAATAAACTTCATTATTTGCTGATAGAGTTCTAATCTAACAACAGCTCCCTTTAATATGTAATTCAGTTACATAACACTACTGAGGACCTCTACACGAAGAATGATTAAAACACTTAGCTTGATAAGGAGGACAGGCCTTTGATAACATAGATTAAGAAATGAATAATGATATGTAAGATACAGCAGGGGTTAATTATTTGTTTTAGGGGAGAAATGTGTGAATATTTCAGAAAAAAACTAAACTGACTGTAATGGTGTGTTTTGATGGGTTTTCAAGAACAACATCGCCTGATGTTATCTCTCCGACTGCTCTTTTATGACTTATTTTATTTCACATGTAACAAATGTGATGTGAACAATATGTAAAAACTTCAACAAGGGTTTCCATGTAGATAAACAATATCAATGTTTAAATATCAAACCTAAATGCCCCATGACGCCAGGAATGGAACCAATGTCTTCCAGTAGACTGGGTTTCAGATGCTTAAAACACCCTTGCTTTCTATGTCAGAGGTAGTTCTTTGCTAATTATCTGAGGGTCAAATCCAAGAAACCTGATAACAGGGGTTATAAAATAGGTTACAGTTTATATTTCTCCCTATACTTACTTAAATTAACAAATGCACTACTAAACTGGTAGGATATATTGAACCCTTTACGGTCGAATGCGAAGTCAACGTTGTTGTCGAGAGTGGTACTCTCCAGGTCCACCCTCCCACTGCTGGTGACAAACTCTATGTAGAGGAATTCCTGACTCGAGTAGAACTCCACATTTCTGTAGCTGCCACAAAAGGTACCAATGACAGTCGCGGCCCTGTCACGGCCATCCCTGACCTTGACATAGTCAAACGGGCAGCTGTAACAAACACAGGTCTGGTTACAGGCAACAACCAGAAGTTAGATACTATCATATCATTAGTAAAGTACATCAAAACCGGAAACAATTAGGCCTTAATAGGTAAGAAATTATAGACAATTTTATTTTGAGTTGAAGTTGTAACCTCAAAGTTAGGTTAAAGATAATACTATTGCCAGTAACACTGATGTAACATCAGTGTTACTGGCAATAGTATTATCTTGTTGACCTTAAGGTACATCTTTAGATCATTGCCAAGGTTACCATACATGTAAGATACATCTTAAAATCATTGCCAAAGTTACCATACATGTAAGGTATATCTTTAGATCATTGCCAAGGTTACCATACATGTAAGATACATCTTGAGATCATTGCCAAAGTTACCATACATGTAAGGTACATCATTAGATCATTTCCAAGGTTACCATACATGTGAGATACAACTTTAGATCATTGCCAAGGTTACCATATATGTAAGGTACATCTTTAGATCATTCCCAAGGTTACCATACATTTGAGATACATCTTTAGATCATTGCCAAGGTTACCATATATGTAAGATACATCTTAAAATCATTGCCAAAGTTACCATACATGTAAGGCATATCTTTAGATCATTGCCAAGGTTACCATACATGTAAGGTACATCATTAGATCATTGCCAAGGTTACCATACATGTGAGATACAACTTTAGATCATTGCCAAGGTTACCATATATGTAAGGTACATCTTTAGATCATTGCCAAGGTTACCATACATTTGAGATACATCTTTAGATCATTGCCAAGGTTACCATACATGTAAGGTACATCCTTAGATGATTGCCAAGGTTACCATACATGTAAGGTACATCTTTAGATCATTGCCAAGGTTACCATATATGTAAGGTACATCTTTAGATCATTGTCAAGGTTACCATACATGTAAAGAACATCTTTATATCAATGCCTAGGTAACAATACATGCAAGGTACATACTTAGATCATTGTCAAGGTTACCATATATGCAAGGTACATCTTTAGATCATTGCCAAGGTTATTATACATGAATTTAAGATACATCTTCCCACCATTCCTATTTTTACAGTACTTGTAAGGTACTGCCACACTTACTAGTCTCCGCCATGGTAGAGGGAGAAGTCAATAAATTTGATGTGTATGCGTTGCCCGGGAGCCCCTTGGAGGAGGTAGTTACAATGGAGACGGTCAGGGTAGAACCCCGGGTAGGTTGGTGAAACAATATATCCAGATGGTTTCCGTACTCCATTGATGGTGAAGTTACAAGTTTCTGGGTCTGTTTGCGTACCAATTGCATACACAGCTGAAATAAGAAAACATCTCTTCAATCTAACCCCTCCATCCTCAGTGTCTACATTAGAGTCGCTACTCCAGGTCTGGAAACGTCTAATGTGGGCCCCGGGGAGGAGGGGTTACTCATCAAACACAGACGTGTACATACAGCACAAGGTCACACAGTGCAAAACATAACACTTCAAGGTCATTGAAAGCAGGTAGATAGATGTTTAACAGTGAAAAAGTTCATCTCAAGAAATGTTAGTGCTACCCAGTAAATATTTAGCTTACTCACAGTAACAAAGAAAACATCAAGAACATTCAGTTTGATACAGAAAGCATCAATGTTAATAAATGTGACACAGAGTGCATAACAATCATTGAGTTTGACAAAGAAAAGGTTGCTGAATATGACAGGCTAAAGTTTGTCATTTAACACAGAAAGCATCAAGGTTATTAAATGTGGCAGATAACATCAAGGACATTGAATGTGACAGATAACATCATGGTCATTGAATGTAACAGAAAATTGAAAATCAAGGTCATTGAATGTGACAGAAAACAACAAGGTTATTGAATGTGACAGATAACATCAAGGTCATTGAATGTAACAGAGAATTGAAGATCAAGGTCATTGAATGTGACAGAAAACATCAAGGTCATTGAATGTGACAGAAAACATCAAGGTTATTGAATGTGACAGATAACATCAAGGTCATTGAATGTGACAGAAACATCAAGGTCATTGAATGTAACAGAGAATTGAAAATCAAGGTCATTGAATGTGACAGAAAACATCACGGCCATTGAATGTGACAGAAAACATCAAGGTCATTAAATGTAACAGAGAATTGAAAATCAAGGGAATTGAATGTGACAGAAAACATCAAGGTCATTGAATGTTACAGAAAATTGAAAATCAAGTCATTAAATGTGACAGAAAACAGCAAGGTCATTGAATGTGACAGAAAACATCAAGGTAATTGAATGTGACAGAAAACATCAAGGTTATTGAATGTGACAGATAACATCAAGGTTATTGAATGTGACAGATAACATCAAGGTCATTGAATGTGACAGATAATATCAAGGTCATTGAATGAGGCAGAAACATCAAGGCCATTAAATGTGACAGAAAACATCACGGTCATTGAATGTGACAGAAAACATCAAGGTCATTGAATGTGACAGAAACATCAAGGTCATTGAATGTAACAGAGAATTGAAAATCAAGGAAATTGAATGTGACAAAAAACATCAAGGTCATTGAATATGACAGATAACATCAAGGTCATTGAATATGACAGAAAACATCAAGGTAATTGAATGTGACAGATAATATCAAGGTCATTGAATGAGGCAGAAACATCAAGGCCATTGAATGTGACAGAAAACATCACGGTCATTGAATGTGACAGAAAACATCAAGGTCATTAAATGTAACAGAGAATTGAAAATCAAGGTCATTAAATATGACAAAAAACATTAAGGTCATTGAATGTGACAGATATCATAAAGGTCATTGATTGTGACAAAACATCAAGGTCATTAAATATGACAGATAACATCAAGGTAATTGAATATGACAGAAAACATCAAGGTCATTGAATGAGACAGAAACATCGAGGTCATTGAATGTGACAGAAAGCATCAAGGTAATTGGATGTGACAGAAAACATCAAGTTCATTGAATGTTACAGAAAAACATCAAGTTCATTGAATGTGACAGATAACATCAAGGTCATTGATTGTGACAAAGAATTGAAAATCAAGGTCCTTTAATGTGATGCAGAAAACATCAAGATCGTTAAATGTGACAGAAACAATGAGGTCATTGAATGTGACAGAAAGCATCAAGGTAATTGAATGTGACAGAAAACATCAAGGTCATTGGATGTGACAGAAAACATCAAGTTCATTGAATGTTACAGATAACATCAAGTTCATTGAATGTGACAGAAAACATTAAGGTCGTTAAATGTGAGAAGAATATCAAGTTCATTGAATGTAACAGATAACATCATTGTGATTAAGTAAATGGACATGTCTGAAAACAATTTCCACAAATTTCTGAAATGATTGAAGTAATGAACTAATAAAGTACATCATTCATCCATTGGTTTGATTATTGTTTATTTATTTATTGGTGTGATAATCGTTAATTCAATCATTTATTTGATCAATTGATCATTGGTATTTAAATCCTCGGTTGGATCATTATTAATTCAATAATTGATTGGACTATTGTTTCCTGTATCCCTTAATATTAGGAAATATTTAAGCATCTACTGTTCTAATGGATTCCTGAAATATGCAGCACATTATATTCCCGAGGGATGTAATGCAGGATAGATCCCTGTATACATTTGTCATGAATGTGTTATTTATTACAATAATGTCAGATTAATGTGAAGGCCATCAATAAAGCAGCAGTAGAATGACTCCAGAATGCAGATTCTAAGATTCCATAGAAACACTGTACAGAATATGTATTCTGAGACAGTCAGGATATGATTGGTTGCTATAAAGATTGTCATGAATGTGTTTTGTTTGGTGAGTTTTCCTGTCTGGAGTACAAAATGTAAGCATGCCATGAGGTATGGGAAGGAATTGTCTCTATTCAGGATGAAATGTCTGGTGAGGAGACACCTCCCATACCCATTTCCTTCTCCTCCCTCCAGTCTTACACATACTTCTTCCTTCAACTAAATCTTACATACAAACCTGATCTGTGTACCTTTAACAACTCAACAAAACTCTGCCCAAGGAATGTTACCTAGCCATAGCATTGGAGGTGTTGGGTATTCTCAATTATGTGTTCATTTGACCTCAAATTGATATCAACTGACAGCCACCCGCTTATCCCCGACTATATACATTGGTGACATGCTATTCCAATAAATATTTTATATGTTATTTGTGAAAATAAACTGACACAGATTTGTGGTGATTGAGACCTGCAAGTCATCACCAAAATGTTTTTTTTTTTTACAAATGACAATTGTGAGGTAGAGTAATTCTGAGCTTTGATCTGATCAAGAGTCTCACATAAATGAGGAAATGATTGAAAAAGATAAAATAGTGAGATTAAAATCTGGCAGGTAACATTTGCTTATCCAGAGTGCTCCATCAGATACTTATGTGCTAATCAAGAAATTAATTAACCCAGAGTCTTGCATGATATAACAATGTGCTAATCAAGAGATTAATTGACCCAGATTCTTGCATGATATTACAATGTACTAACCAAGAGATTAATTGCCCCAGACTCCCAGGATATTACATTTGTGTTAATCAGAGATTTTCATTACACAGAATCTTACAGAAAATAACAATGAGTAAATCAAGAGATTTAGTGACCCAGACCTATTGTCGCTGACTTGGATCAGCCAGAAGGTAATGGTGAGGACAGCCTACAAGTGCAGACAACATTCCAGATTAAACAGATTCTAAACATGGTATTTCATTACAGAAACACGAGACTACATCCTTACACTATTCCTAATTAAACAAAGATGATGAAACAAATGGAATTGTTTCTATTTTATCTTGGGTGTAAAAAACACTTAGGTACATGCACAGACTAATAAAAGCAGATTACATGATGTCTAAATAAGCCAGTGAAACTTATATATGATACCAGTGTTTTGGGATTTTGACAGAATGATCCTCTGTGAATTTCAGTCATGACAGCATCAGTGATGATGACTTCAAGTAGTGACAACTATTTATAACATACTGTCACTTATTTGAGAGTTGAAGGACTATTTATTTTGTTTTAAATAATCACAACTTCAGTGTGTGAGACATTGGAGGAAAATGGTTTTCATTGATCTCAACCTAAAGATACCTTAGACTATTGTAAGAGCTCATTACTGGTAAGTTGAACATTCAATCATTGATTGCTTGATGTGACTGTAAATTAGAAGAAGCAATCGTCACACAGACAATTGTTACCAGATAAGTCCGATCAAGATTCCCAACCTTAAAGAGGAAACGTTTCACTTGATATAAAGCATGCAGCCAATGAAACCTGTGTGATTGATCCTTTCTTCTGTTTCTGATACAGCGCCTTTACAAAAATAGAACCCTGATGTGAAAAACCAGACCGATACTTGATTTCAAATCACGGACAGGTGCACAGTGCAAAGGATGTAACTCAAGCTCATCAAATCACAGATGGGCATTAATTACGCTTTGTGGAAACTGTAATTTGTCTCTGTTAAGGTTTGATCCAATTTAAATTCTGTGTTGGTGACGAAAATAAATGAGAATCTACCATGGACACTGGAATATTGAAAGTCACAAGGGCACCAGATTGAGTCAGATCCATAAGGGGGTGAACACTAAGCATTGAAGATCAAGGGAAACAAAATATTAGCTGTACCTACATGAGGACCGCTGAACATTAAAGTCAAGGTGGCACCAAGCAAAAGTCATTCCAACATGGGGATGGACACAAAGTGTTGAAGGTCAAGGTGGCACCAAGCAAAAGT